AGAACCCGATTCTCTCCCCACAGCGCCGCCCCCGCCGCCATCTTGTGGCGAGAGAGCGGCGCGGGGCGGGCGCGAACGGGGCCGGGGAGAGCGGGCGGGGGAGGCACCGCGCGGAACGAGTTCGTCGCACCAAATGCGTTTTATTGTGCCGAACACACCGATGCTGGGTGGGCGTTGCTCTGAAAAAGAAATCTGCAGGCTGCTAACGCGCAGTACTTCCACAGGGCAAAGCCACGTAAAGTTGGAAGTGGGAGAGAATCGGGTTCTTGGTAATCTTAGAGTTGGAAAGGTCGCTGCGATATCGGTGCCGTGGATTTCTGCAGTTCAGGACTTTTTTGCCTTTTTCCGGGAAACTCTCTGCAGTGCTCGCTTGGGCACAGGAGTAAAAGGTCTTTTGCACCAGCCTTATTCAGAACACTTACCACCTAAGGAGCCTTTCTGCTGTGCCTTTTGCAATCGGACATGTCTATTGGCCTTATTAGCCACCAGCGTGCTTGTCACAAATGTGGATAGAGCCTTTCCCAAATCTCCGTTCGCGAAGCCCAGCCATGATGATTCAGAATGCTACAGTGGCAAAAGTAGCTGAGATTTTAATTCACTCTGTTAGAAAGCCCAAGGATTTATTAATCTCATGGTTTCTTCCCAACAAACCCCGGTTACTGCTGCGTGCTTGAATTTCTGGACACGTGAGCAGTTTGCCATCATCACAAAAGATGAAGTCAAGCTCCCCAATTTGGGGAAACTGCAGGTGTCCACACATCCAGCATGGGCTGGATGACAGGCCCTTCCCTGGGAAAATACAGATCAACTGAAATGGTCCGGTGGAGAGCCACTAAAATGGGCAGGGGTGCATGTCACTGTGAGAAAAGTGTGGGGGAACTAGGCACACAGCCTGGACAAGGGAAGATGAGGTTAATACATGGAAAAAAGTTGCCCCATGATATCAGGCAGGCAGTGGAGCAGGTTGCCTAATGAAGGTGTGCAGGCTCCATCCTTGAGAGATTTTAGGACCCAGCTGCAGAAAATGCTGAGCTGCCTTCTCTGATCCCAGAGGTGGTCCTGCTTGCAGCAGGGGGTTGGACTGAAGATCTCCCGAGCTGCCATCTAACCAGAGCGATTCTGTGGGAGCCTCAGGTTCTTCTGCAATGGGAAGTACATGGTTATGTCTTTTTCTGTGTTAGGCACAACCTTAAAACAAAATTTACCTGCAGATTTCAATTCTCAGCTTACAATATATTAAAAAAAATTCTAACAAGGCTTTCTAAAACATTTGTTTCACATTTACTTTGATCTTTAAGAAAGTGTTTACTGAATTAGTCTGATGAGTCTTGTCTTAACGTCAAACACCTCCTTGTAGAGTGCTCTCACAGTCAGAACTGTCCATCCCCTAACAGCTCCTCCTGGCCAAACCAGACAGACTTAAAGATGTCCCATCACTCTCTTAGCAGATCGCCAGGGCTCCCACTACTGAATATGTTAAATAACAGGGCTACCCCACCACCTCCCAGTCCTTGCCTGTCCCTTCTGAAGAGTTCACCACCATCCATTGCACCACTCCAGTTGTGCCAGTCATCCCACCATGTCCCCATGATGGCAACTATGCCATAGTTTTCCTGTTGCACCGTGGCTTCCAGGTCCTTCTGTTTGCTGCCCATGCTGTGGGCATTGGGGTAGATGCACTTCAGGGGGCTTTATTGATCCCAATGCCTTTTTGGGGAGAGAAGCTCCAGTTCCTGAGTGACCATTCTCAGGAGCTTCCACGGTTTCTAGCACATCAGTAACACCTTCATCCTTGCTGTTGCATGGATCTCCATTCCCTACCTCTACTGAGATGGCAGACTGAAGGACCTCGCTAGCACACAGTCCCTCAACACTGGCGTGTCACCCCCAGGATTATCTCCAGTGACCTGATTTTATCCCCTCCCCCCTTCAAATCCAGTTTAACTCTCACCCAACATGCCCTGCTAACTCCTGTGCAAAGATCCTATTCTCCTCAGAGACAGGGATGTGACAGCACCCTTGGTGTCGGCTAAACCAACCCACGATCAAAAACCCCAACATTCTGCTGCTGGGGCAGCGTGAGGAGCAGCAAAGATGCTCAGCACTGACTGAAACATCCAGGGGTTATCAATGCTCCATCCAGCACAAGTCCAAAACACAGTCTCAGGGAAGAAATGGAACTCTTCCTCCCTGCCCAATGCAGCACATTCTCCACCCCTTATTCTATGCCACGTACATCCTGCTCAGGTCCCACACTATCCAATACCCACCACCACCGTTTGCTATCATACACAGGTATCATTCCCTTTGTCTGTGGACCACTCCTGTGAAATGTCCATAAAATGTCCAGAAAATGTCCACAAATGTTCACAAAATCATAGAATCACAGAATGTTTGGGTTGGGAGGGACCTTTAAGTCATCTTGTTCCAACCCCGTGCCATGGGCAGGGATACCTTCCACTAGATCAAGTCGCTCCAAGCTCCACCCAACACTGAACACTTCCGGGGATGGGGCATATACCTGCTCCAGTGTGGCCTTCTCCATGGCTGCAGTCCTTCCAGGGGTGTACCCGCTCTGTTGTGAGTTTATCCATGGTCACACACCTCAGGGTGCTCCAGCATGACTTCCTGCACAGCCACGGATGCTTCAGGATGTACCTTGGGCCACATTCCCTTCAGAGATGCTCCTGCTGCAGCACAGACATATCCATGGCCACAGACATCTTGGGGTTTCTTGCTCCCACGTGGACACATCCACAGGTCACAGTAAGCAGAAGCAGCCACTAATGGGAACAAGACTAATTTACAGTAAGGTGAGCACAGAAGCTCTGTGGTTTTGCTTTCCCTTCCTCCTTGGCCTCCAGGGCTGCCCTGTACAGGCTCTCTCCTCACAGTGGAGCTTTCTCCTCGTCCCAGGGCTCCCCAAGAGGACAGTGTCTCCTTCCTCTCACCAGGGTCCCCCCCAGCTGGATTCCTGCCCCCAAGCAGGGGCAGTGCCGCTTGCCCACTCACGCTCCCCCCACTACAGTAAATCCTCTGTGTGCCATCCCAGCAAGATGCAAGACCCTTCCATGTCCCCAGCACCTCCAGCTCTCATCTCCTGACCCCTCATCACCCACGGGTATCCCCCCACATTTGGCTGTTGTCCATCTCCCACTGGCTGATAGGGCCTCTTGTCTTGGGAGGACCCTGCTCCCGAGGGACATGGACCCTGCTCCTGAGGGACAGGAACC